AGGACCAAGCGGCGCTACCACGGCAAGTAGGAACCGGGCCGGAGCACCTCATGCCAGTGTGGGCCAGGGGGGAGCAAGCACGAGCAATGCGCCGTCCGTGAATCAAGGAAGAACTCAAGCTAGAGTTTATGCGATGACGGAGGCAGACGCACGTGCTAACCCGGACTCCGTGGCGGTAAGATCTTAAACTCACGATATTACTCCATTGTATGCAATAGGAGTGTTTGTAAGGTGCAAAATTTGTAACCCCGACGGTTTGGTCAGGATTGTGGGGAAAAGGGGAGGAAAAACCCCCGCCCTGGGCGAATGCCGCCCGGCATATGACGAAAGCCGCCCGGCTTTCGTCTTGAAATATTGAGAAAATACTGCGGCGACGAATGCCGGCCGGTTTCCACCAAAGGCCGCCCGGCTTTCGTCATCATTTAATCAGTAAAAAATTCTCGCAACCAAAAACCGGCCGGCTTTTGTAAAGACCGGACGGCTTTCATAAAGGCCTGACCTGGGAATTTTCTCGCAGCTGAAAGCCGCCCGGATTTGGCAAAAGCCGCCCGGCTTTCGTCGGGCCTAGAAATTCCTGCGCTGCTGAAACCCGGCCGGGTTTCGTAGAAACTGGCCGGCTTCGAAACCATTCCCTGAATAAAAACCACGGCGACGAAAACCGCCCGGCTTCCGTAAGAGCCGCCCGACTTTCGTGATTAAAAACTTGGAATTTTTCTCGCAGTTGAAAACCGGCCGGCTTTCGTGAAAAGCGGTCGGCTTTCACCCGGATTGATCCTAAAACGGTCCTAAAGGTTAGAAACCGGGAAATTTTGGGAGGGTATCGAACGGACCCCACCCGAAACACAACCAACATACTCTACGACTTAAGAAACGAACCTATTTATTAGATGGTGTGTCTTACATTACTTATGAATGTAGGAACACTAAAGATAAACGGGAGAGAAGTAAGGATCCTTATTGATACCGGGGCGCAACGATCATTTGTGAGTGAGGCGTTCGCCAGCGGATTCAACGGACCACTTGTACCGATGACTCAAACCCTATTGGTGTCCACGCCTCTAGGGGATGATATCGAGAGAGAAAGCCACTATCCATCGTGTGAGGTGGAGGTGGAGGGACAGAACTTGACGTGTGATTTCGTACCGCTGAGTATGATCGAGTTTGATGCAATCCTCGGGATGGATTGGCTTGAGAAACATCATGCTAGGGTCGATTGCTACACGAAGGTTCTTGAACTCGAAGGCAGCGAAGGGTTGACCTTACGCTTCGAGGGAGATAGAGGCAAATCAAACTGTTGTATCATATCCGCCGTGAGAGCAAGGAATATGATGAGAAAAGGGTGTCACGCATACCTAGCGTATGTGGTGGACAAAACCAAAGAAGAGATAGACATCAATGATGTGAGAGTTGTGTGCAAGTATCCGGATGTCTTCCCAAAAGACTTGTCGGGACTTCCACCCGATAGGGAGATTGAGTTCGTGATCGATGTCGAACCCGGCACCAAACCAATCTCTATACCGCCATACAGAATGGCACCCGCTGAACTTAACGAGTTGAAAACCCAATTGCAAGAGCTATTGGATAACGGTTTCATAAGGCCGAGTCACTCTCCGTGGGGAGCACCGGTCCTTTTCGTGAAGAAGAAAGATGGAACACTTCGTATGTGCATTGACTATCGTCAACTGAACAAGGTCACAATCAAAAATAGGTATCCCTTGCCTAGAATTGATGACCTGTTTGATCAGCTCCGAGGGGCGACGGTGTTTTCGAAGATTGACTTGAGGTCGGGGTACCACCAACTGAAAATAAAGGAAGATGACATACCGAAGAGTGCATTCCGCACAAGGTATGGTCATTTCGAGTTCCTAGTCATGTCGTTCGGGCTAACCAACGCCCCGGCGGCATTCATGGACATGATGAACCGTGTGTTCAGTGAATACTTAGATCAATTCGTGATAGTATTCATTGACGATATTTTGATATACTCCAAGAGTGAGGGGGAGCATGAAGATCATTTGAGACTTGTACTTGAATGGCTAAGGGAAAAACAACTCTTTGCCAAATTCTCTAAATGTGAGTTTTTGCTCAAAGAGATCGGGTTCCTCGGGCATGTCGTGTCAGGTTCGGGCATTGCGGTGGATAAAGCCAAGATAGAAGCCATTATGAATTGGGAGAGACCCAAGAACGTGAAAGAAATACGTAGTTTCCTCGGGTTGGCAGGATATTATCGTAAGTTTGTTGAAAAAATTTCTGTATTGGCGTCTCCATTGACAAAGCTCACAAAGAAAGGGGCCAAGTTCATATGGGACGACAATTGTGAGAAAGGGTTTCTCGAACTAAAGAAACGGCTTACAGAAGCACCAGTCCTCACTCTACCCACACAAGGGATAGGGTACGACATATACAGTGACGCTAGCATCCAAGGGCTTGGATGTGTTCTAATGCAAAACGGTCGGGTGATTGCCTACGCTTCGAGGCAATTGAAAAAACACGAGGCCAACTACCCTACCCATGATCTAGAGTTGGGAGCGGTAGTGTTTGCACTGAAAATTTGGCGGCATTATCTCTATGGGGAGACATGTCACATTTTCACCGATCATAAAAGCTTGAAGTATGTATTCACTCAAAAAGAGTTGAATATGAGACAAAGGAGATGGATGGAGTTGATCAAGGACTATGACTTGATCATCGACTATCATCCCGGGAAGGCCAATGTAGTAGCCGATGCACTGAGCAGGAAGAGTACATCGGGGACGTTACTCACGTGTCTACGCTCACTAAGGGCACAAATGGAGGTGTCCACGAGTGGGGTCCTCATTGCTAGATTCGAGGTTAGGCCTACATTGCTGAGTGAGATCAGTAGATGTCAGGCCATTGATGAAGAATGTCAGAAGATCCGTGAACAGATCCTTGAGGGACCTGTTGAGAACTTTCGGGTACGTGATGACGGTCTTTTATTATTTAAAGGCCGTGTATGCATACCAAGGAACGAGGAGCTCCAAAAGTCTATACTGGAGGAGGCTCATTCTTCGGCATATGCCATGCATCCAGGAGGTACTAAAATGTACCGAGACTTGAAGGAAAGTTACTGGTGGTCGGGTATGAAGAGGGACATCGCAGAGTACGTGAGTCGGTGCCTTACTTGCCAACAAGTCAAGGCGGAGCATCAACACCCGGCGGGACTTTTGCAACCACTTACCATTCCAGAATGGAAGTGGGAGCACGTGACCATGGACTTCGTGGTGGGGCTGCCACGAACAGTGAACAACTATGATGCAGTATGGGTAGTGGTTGATAGGCTCACCAAGAGTGCACACTTTTTGCCTATCAACATTACTTATCCTCTTGAAAGATTGGCAAAGCTATACACGGAGGAGATTGTGAGACTGCATGGAGTTCCGATATCCATTGTCTCGGATAGGGACCCACGTTTCACATCCCGATTTTGGCCAAAATTTCAAGCATCCTTGGGTACGAAGCTAAAGTTTAGCACAGCCTTTCACCCACAGACGGATGGGCAATCCGAGAGGGTGATCCAGATTTTGGAAGATATGCTTAGGGCATGTGCTCTGGAGTTCCAAGGGAGTTGGGACAAGCATTTGGCTCTGGTTGAGTTTGCCTATAACAACAGTTATCAGGCGAGTATTGGCATGCCTCCATACGAGGCATTGTATGGGAGGAAATGTAGAACACCGTTGTGTTGGGACGAAGTTGGCGAAGCCAAGCTCGAGGGGATTGAACTTGTCGAAATCACCAAGGCTAAGGTGAAGGTCATTCAGGATAGACTCAAGGCTGCCCAAGATCGGCAAAAGAGTTATGCTGACAAAAGACGCAGGCCATTGGAGTTTGAGGTCGGCGATAAGGTCTTTCTAAGGATTTCTCCTTGGAAAGGTATCATCAGGTTTATATCGAGGGGAAAACTTAACCCCCGATACATTGGCCCATTCGAAATCCTTGAAAGGATAGGGGCCGTGGCTTACCGTATCAAATTGACGCCAGAACTTGAGAAGATACACGATGTGTTTCATGTATCGATGCTCAAGAAATATGTGCGAGATCCGTCTCATATCCTTGAGAAACCACCAGTAGAGATACGTGAAGACCTACAATATGCGGTGGAACCGGTGGAGATTGTGGGTCAACAGGTAAAGAAACTAAGGAACAAGGAGATTCCTATGGTAAAGGTCCTTTGGAGGAGTGATCGAGTCGAAGAAGAAACCTAGGAGACTGAGGTCTCAATGAGGGAGCAGTACCCTTTCCTTTTCGATTAGACACGTGGATTTCGGGGACGAAATCCCAAATAAGGGGGGGGTGAACTTGTAACACCGTCCCCAAATGTATTTACCTTTAAGCGAATAATTTATTGAACCTTATGAAGTTTTTAGTAAATTTACGAAGTTGTGAATTTGTATAATATTTTTCGCGTGAATAGTAAATTGCACGTGGGGCCCACATCGGGAGTGGGGACCGCCCGATATTATCGGGGCCACATATTATATTGATCTTGGACTAGATAATATGTATATGGTGGTGGATATCCTAGTTGAGCCATGACAATGGCATAGGGTTGACCGGTTGGTCAAACGGGGCCAAATTATCAGTATCGGAAATCTATCAGATAACAGCCCGAAAAGGGATTTCGGAGACTTCTAAATTAAAGTTGAGGGATGAATATTGATTCTAAGGTCCATTAAGAATTGGGAACAAGTGTTATATTTTATTTGACCCGATAAAATAAAATATACTTAAAACAGTCCGGAAAATACAACTTTCGGGGCAAATTGCACACTTTGGGACAAATTAGGATGACCTCCCACATGGGTGGGGGCCACCCCACGAAATTGTCAACCCTTGAGGGCTGGATGAGTGCCAAATTGGCTGAACAACAATTGAGAGGATGGGGGAGACACCTTTGACATGTTGTAGACCCCCTCCCTTTCACTCATTGCCCAAAAGGAGACAAAAGGGGCATTCCTACCCATCCCCTCCTCATTAGTTCGGCCAGCAGCAAGGGAAAGGAGGAAAGAACCTCTGCAACTTCATCTCCATAGCCCCAAATCCGAACTCAAGCTCAAGGGAGTCCAAGAAGAAAGTTTAAGAAGGAAAAAGCTCGGAAAAAGTGTGAAAATTAAGGTAATGACCTTATCATAACTTTTTCTTTGTTTTTCTTCTAGCATATAAGATATATATCATATGAAAGACTTTTAGTATTGTTCTACATGATTTAAGTGTGGAATAATGGGTTGGAAGGTGATTCTAAGTCCAAAAACGGACTTAGAAGCCAAATCGACCGGTTTGCCGGAAAATAACCTTTTATAGGTTATTTGTGTTGATATGGGTTTTGTGATGATAAAACCTTGTTAGGAACCTGATTTAAAGTATTTTTGAGCCTCGCCGGAGTTTCGTCGGAGTTGGTCAAAGTTCGCCGGAGTTGGTCAAAGTTCGCCGGAGTTGGTCAAAGTTCAATCGAGAAACGTAGAACGCGCTTAAGCTTAATTAAGGTGAGGATGACCGACTATGTTACTTATAATCTTTGGGTTAATTTCATGGGATTTCCTAAGTGAATATAAATGTGATGTGCATGAATTGTTGATGGGTAATAATGCCTAAATAGAACTACCATTGATTAAAAGTATAGTATGCATGATACACAAATTTATGAATAAATTGTGTATGTTTAGATGTTATGTATATGTGTGTATGATGGTTGTACCAACCATGATTATCATTTGGGATAGTATACTTTGATACCATGAGGAGAAGCCATGAAGGTATGAAAGTGATACTTGATATTAAGACCAATTATGCAAGAAGAAGGAATTATATTGAAATAAATAAATAACTAGCATTGAAATATTAGTTGGAAATGTTAGTTGAGAAATGGATGAATTGGATCCTAATAATTTGAATTATAAGGAATCGGTGATTATGAGCCGGGCTCAAGACCGATGTAGATGACGGTGATTATGAGCTGGGCTCTAGACCGTAGTAGATGACGGTGATTATGAGCTGGGCTCTAGACCGTAGTAGATGACGGTGATTATGAGCTGGGCTCTAGACCGTAGTAGGTGACGGTGATTATGAGCTGGGCTCTAGACCGTAGTAGATGACGGTGATTATGAGCTGGGCTCTAGACCGCAGTAGATAACGGTGATTATGAGCTGGGCTCTAGACCGTGGTAAATAATGATGAATTGATACTAAATGAACGGATTAACTAAAATGTAATAATGCTCTAGATTGAGGGCCTCTGAGATTTAAACTTTGATTATACTTAGTATAGTTGTCATTGTACTTGTCAAATGCTTCCAAGTACTGACCTCCCCTTCACGGGGGAGGCCACCTCACAGTTTCAGGTAGAACTTGAAGGTTGCTACCACCTGCCGCTGTTTCGGGAAGTTTCTGAGGAGAAGACTTGGTTCGTGCTTCTCCCGTTCTTGTTTTGAAAAAACAATATGAATAATGCTCATGGATAATATTTTCTAAATAATTATTTTGGGGGGCTTGCATGCCTAATTATGTCAAGTGTGGCTTGAACACTTGTATCTATTGTTTCCGCTGTTTTAATAAATGTTTTACATTATGTTTGTTTATGGATGTACTATGTGTGAATGGTATTCAAGACGCCTTGTATAGTATGGACGAGTCGGAGTGCGGTTGACTATTCGTACTGTACGGCGGGTTGTTGACGTGTCTGGGTAGGTCCGGGGCGTGACATTGGAGTATACCCGATGAGTTTTGCTAAGGGCTTGAGGTTCCCCCTTCACCCCTTCATCACTGAATACCTGGATATGGTAGGGCTTCCTCCGGCCTTGCTGACGCCGAACAGCTATTCCTTGATGGTGGGGTTTTTGCTCCGGTGTGAGGAGCTCGGCTACAGGCCGACAACGGCCCCATTCATGAATCTGTACCAGATCGGCCGAGGAAGCCACAAGAACTGTGCGGCCTATGCTACTCTTCAACAGCTGCCGAAGAAGAGGAGCTTCACGGACTTGCCTTCGTCCATTCATGGGTGGAAGAGCAAGTTCGTTTTTGTATCCCTGGGTGAGAGTGGCACCGAGTTTCCTCTCTCGGCCATACCGGGAGGTTCAATCTCCATGACCCGCCGAAGAGCTCTATCTTGGACGCTCAGGTGGAGGCTTTCCTGGAAGGGGGGCCGAGGAGCGTGAAGGATTACGTTACTGAATACAAGATGACCGCCCTCGGCTTCTTTAGATACCATTTGTATGGCGATAAGGAGGATGACCTTCAACTCTGGCCGAGGATGACCACCACCTTTGAAGAGGCCGACGGCCCGGACTTGGGCATTCCTGCTGAGGCCGATCGTAATTATTTCTTCGGCTTTCTGTCTTTATGATTTGTTCTTTTGCCTTGCTAATCTGTTGTTTTTCCTTTGTAGATTTCGCCATGGATCGTCGTTCCATAATGGCTATTGCCAAGGCCAAAGCGGCCGAGGAGTTGGCTGCTAAGGCGGCCGAGGCGGCCAGACGTGCCGCGGCCGATGGGAGTGGGGCTACTACTGATGCGGCCCCAAAGCCTGCCCAATCGAAGAAGAAGAGGCCGGCCACTGACGGCCAGAAAAAATTAACTGAAGCCGGCCTGAACGTCTCCAAGAAGACGAAGAGGGCACCGTCTCCTTCCCCGGCTACCGAGGCCGGTACTCTGACTGTCCCGAGCGTGGACGATGGTGGGCCCGTCGTGGACCTTACTGCTGCTCCTAGTGATGCCGCCCAATCGCTCCCTATCGTCCAGGAGCCCCGGACGAGGAGGGCTGGCAAGGAGATCGCTGCTTCCACCTACCAGAAGGTGGTGGAATACCCCGTCGGCGGGGGTTTGTTTGACGACGCCGTTCTCGGCCATGATGTGCTGGCCCAGGCCATGCCGGCCAAAGATCGGGCTTACTTGAAGAAGCTCGGGGACGTGAAGATTTACGAGGGCGGCATGGACCTCCTCGTCCAAGTAAGTTACTTTCCTTCGTATGTGTCGTTTTTTTTTCTCGTCGTCCATGTAGAGTCGTTTGCCTGAGTTTTTTTTTCCTTTTTTCTGCAGAGTGCCTTTATGCTCATGGAGAGCCATAAAAGGCAGTACCGGGAGATAGCTCGTTTGAAGGAGCTAGAGCAGAAGGCTGCTTCGGCCGAAGAGGCGGTAGCTTGCCTGGATCGGCTCCGGGAGGATGCCAGGGCTTTGCAGGCAAGGGCCGATGAAGTCGCTGCAGCCAGGGACGATGCCCTGGCCAAGCTCGAGGAGAGCAAAAGGGAGCTTGAGGCCGAGCGGCGCAAGAATGAAGAAGCCGTGAAGGCGAACGCTGAGGCCGAGGCCGCCGCTGTGAGGGCTGCTGATGAGGCCGTTGAGAAGTTCCTGGCCGAGGGGTGGAAGGCTGATGAGAGGCTTCCCTGGTGTTATGAGGTGGTGGCCGCCAGGCTTGAGAATTGGGGGATGAACTCCCCCGCCGGCCAGGAGTATTTCAGTAGGGAGATGGCCGTCTATTATAACATGGGCCAGGAGCGGATGCAGAGGCTCCTGTGTCGGCGGCTGTCTCGTGCTCTGAAGGCCATGAACTACACGTCCGGGTGGGCCAGACGGAACCTGAAGCTGCCAAAGCTGATGAAGGACCCAGAAGAGCAGGCCAAGCTTCTTTTGTCGGAGCGGGAGTCCCCTATTGAAAGCTCCGGCCTTGGCGAGCCGGATTACACCGAATTTGATTTCCTGGACGATGCCACCAGTGCTGCAGCCGCCGCCGGCCAGGAGACTGAGGCCGAGGAGGGAGCCGACGAGGTCGAAGAGCCAGCCGCGGATGGAGGTGCCCAGGAGGCTTGATCGGCTACTCCCTGCTTTGTAATTAGGTTTTCAATTTTTTGCCAAACTGATGTAATGGCCGAAGCGCCCCCAATTGTAATGAACTGACTATGAATGAAAAAAATTTTGCCGTCCTGCTCGGCTTTGAATTCCTTGTATGCTTGTTTGCATTTTGTCATTTCAGTTCTGAAATTTGTCTAAGTGTCAAGGTCATAACTTGGGTCACCCGCGAGTGTCCGCTACGTCCATGGGGTAGTCCACCCTGTTCGGTGGCCTGGTCGGCTTGTTCGTCGTTGCTTTACTATCATAACACTTAGGAAGTTTTTCAAAAATTTCCTAAGTGTTTTTGGCTCACTAAGCTGCTTTCTTCCCGGTCTGGTGGCTTGGTCGGCCTGTCCGTCATTTCTGTACTATCATAACACTTAGGATTTTGTTTTGAAAATTTCCTAAGTGCTTTGAATCCACTTGGGTGCTTTCTTCCCGGCCTGGTGGCCTTGTCGGCCTGACCGGTGTTGATGTAGTATCATAACACTTAGGATTTTTTCAAAAATTTCCTAAGTGTTTTGGATTATTGTAGTTGCTTTCCTTCCGGCCTGGCATTGTCCCATTCTTCTTTTTGTTAGAATGTTGCTAAGTGTCTAACTTCAAGTGGATGAGTGTTCTCATCGTCCTGGCATTGGATTTCTCATTGTTGACGAATGCTTTGGGAGAGTGTTCTCATCGTCCTGCATCCTTGTGTTGTGGCCGATAAGGGCACCTTCACCTTGGGCTTTTGAACTTAGAATTTTTCTAAGTACACATGCAAAGGCGTGGGTAGCTAACGGCCTTGGAGTATACAGGTACCCGCTTCGTCTAGAGTTCCTCCATTTGAATACTTAAGAGAATTTTCTAAGTATGAATGTAAGGGATTTACTTCTTTGCGGTACCGCTGCCGGCCAAGGTCTGGCTTGTGGCCGATGAGGGCGCCGGATAAGGAATGGCTTTTCCAAGGAGATGGCTCTACCTTCGTCGGCTAACCATGGTTCCTTGTTGAGGAACCCTCCTTTTTCCTCAGAATTTTCTCTAAGTGTTTGGTAAACACTTGAACCAATTCCCAAAGAACTTTCGCTTGACCAACAGCCTTGGTTCCAGTGCCTGTATCGGCTATCCGGGGTGCTGTGGCAAGTGAGGATTGTTTCCTGATTGCTTGATTCTTCCGCGGTGTGTTAAGTGCCCGCTTCGTCCTGGTCATCCTCAGGATTGTGATTCTTTGTTTCATACCAAGCGTTGGTGCTTCAAAGGACTGTGGCCGATGAAGGTCACCTCTCGCGTGTCACCCAACCGATGCGGTTAGGGTTTCATAGACGTGTGTTTCGGCCTTGATTATTCCCTTGTAGCGCGTGGACGTGTCGTCCATGTTACTTGTCAGTGGTACTACACTTGTGTTCAACTGATATGTACTTGGCCTAGTTGGGCCTGAGTTGTGGGGATTTTATTTTTTCATTGCTCGAGGCCGGCTAGTGTGCGTGGCCGTCAGCTTCCCTCTTTTTCCCTTGTATATATATTTTTTTCTTTTTTTTTGTTTCCGGGGAGTATCCTTCTTTCAGGCTTCGGCCGAAAGGTGTGCTCGTCCTTCGGCCGGTTCGGACTTCGTTTATAACGTCCGTGATCTCAGGGCGGGTCCCGTCACCTATTTATGACGCGGGCTAGACTTTTGGTCGGTTTCCAACGGCTGTCGTTGCCCATCCCTGAGTTTTGGGATTTTGTCACCTCGGCCATGATTTCAGGCCTGTCGTCCTGCGATCTGGCGCGTGGACGACGCGATGAGCTTCCCGTTTCAAGACGTGGGCCGTTTGCGGGCCCCTCGTCCTGGGGACATCGTCGGCCATACCTGAGCGTTTCACTGCTAGGCTTACGGGGCCGGGACGATGTGCTCTCTCAGCTAGGCCTAAGCCCTTTGCTGATACAAAATACAATGGAGTGCCGGAGCTTGTCGCTCATAGGCTGCCAATGCAAGGGGCCACGTCGGCCATACCTGAGCCTCTCGCTCTAAGGTGGCCGACGGGGGCACCTGCTAATGTTTTACTTTAAATTCCAGAGAAAAAATCAGGAACATGATTTTATTCATAAGTGGCTCGAGGCCGAGGGTGGCGTTCGATCAGTAACCCGTTAAGGGGTGAGGGCTTCGCCGTCTACACCTCCTTCGGATTACTGATAAAACATCACCAGATGGTGTACATTCCACGTTCGTGGTACATTGGACCCATTCGGGCGTTTAAGCTTGTAGGTGCCGGGTTTGACCACGACACTGACGATGTAGGGCCCTTCGTACTTCAATGCTAGTTTGCCACCCTCTATCGGCTGGCTTGCTTCCCTTCGGCGGAGGACGTAGTCCCCCACCTGAAATTCCCGGGAACGTACCTTGGCGTCATAGTATGATTTTACTTGACGCCGGTAGTTCTCTGCTCGGACGTAAGCTTGCTCACGCCTCTCATCGACCAGGTGCAGGTCAATCTTCATGCTTTCCTCATTGGCGTCAGGCTCGTATTGTTCCACCCGTCGGTTGGGGATGGCAACTTCCGTGGGCGCCTTTGCTTCAAAGCCGTAGCACAGGGCGAAAGGCGTTTCACCTGTCGCCCTCCTCAGCGTGGTTCTGTAGCACCACAGGATGTTGGGGAGCTCGTCGACCCAACTACCTCCTGCGGCTTGGAGCTTCTTCTTGAGCCCCTCCATAATTGTTCTGTTGGCGTTCTCGACCTGCCCGTTGCCCTGAGGGTAGGCAACGGAAGAGAAACGATGCTTTACCCCAAACTCCCGGAGGAGCTCTTGGAAAGGGGCTGCCTCGAATTGGGTGCCGTTGTCTGATATAATCTCCCGGGGGACGCCAAAGCGTGTGATGATGTTCTTGTAAACAAATTTTTGGCATCTGGCCCCCGTGATGCTAGCCAAGGGCTCCGCCTCGACCCACTTGGTGAAGTAGTCGACGGCGACGATGATGTAGCGGTTATTCCCGGCGGCTCTGGGCAGGGGGCCGACTAGGTCAATCCCCCATCTGGAGAATGGAATTGCGGTGCTGACGGGGGCGTAGTTGACAGCTGGCCGACCAGGGGCCCTCTGGAGCACCTGGCATGTGGTGCACTTCCTGGCCAGGTCAGCGCAGTCGCGTGCCATCGTCGGCCAGAAGAAGCCCTGGACGACGAGACGTCGGGACATGCTGAAAGGGCCCTGGTGTGAGGAGCAGACGCCACAATGAACTTCTTCCATGGCTATGTCGGCCTCATCCTGGTGGAGGCATCGAAGGAGAGTGCCATTGTAGGATCGTTTATAGAGTTTGCCATCTTCGATGGTGTAGCTTGGGGCCCTGAGTTTGGCAAGTTTGGCTCTCTCCTCGTCCGGGGGCAGCTCCCCCGTTGCGATGAAGGTGGCGATGTCGGAGATCCAATCCTCTGGTCGTTGTTGGACGCACAAGACGGGGCTGGCATGGATGCTGGACATGCTCAACTCCTCGATCTTGGCCAACTGGGAGATGTGTTCCGGAGTGTCCGAGCTGAGTTTGGAGAGGATGTCGGCTTCGGCGTTCTCGGCCCTTGGGATCTGAGTGATCTCGTGGGTTTCAAACGCTTTCAGCAACTCCTCCGCCGCTTGTTTGTACTGCTTCATTCGGCCTTCCTTTGCTTCGTACGATCCCTCCACCTGGCCCACTACCAGTTTGGAGTCGCACTTGATTTTGAGGTGCTTGGCCTTGAGGCCGGGTGCGAGTCTGAGACCGTTGAGGAGGGCCTCATACTCGGCTTCGTTGTTGGATACCCTGAAGTTGAAGCGGATGGCCTAGTAAGCTCTGAATCCTTCAGGGGATATGAGGACGACGCCACCGCCGCATGATTTCGCGGCCGACGAGCCGTCAGTGAACAGGGTCCATGTATCGTCCGGCTCCGGCCCGGGGTTGGCGACGACCGTCTCCCTTGCTGTGCATTCAATGACGAAGTCGGCCAAGGCTTGCCCTTTGATAGATGGCCTTGGCTTGATCTCAATTTGAAATTGGCTGAGGAAAATTACCCATTTCACCATCCTAGAGGAGCTGGTGGGGCTCCTCATGAGTGCGCCGAGAGGCTGTTGGGTCAGTACATGGACGGCGTGGGCCTGGAAGTAGTGTCCCAGCTTCTTCACCGTGTGGACGATGGCCAGCACCGTCTTCTCAATGGGGGAGTACCTGAGCTCGGCCTCCCTGAGTGTCTTGCTGATGTAGAAGATGGCCTTTTGCACCCCTTCGTCCTCACGGATGAGCACAGAGCTGATGGCCGACGTGCTCACCCCTAAGCACAAGAAGAGGGTTTCGCCGGCTTTGGGCTTGGAGAGCACGGGTGGGGACGACAAGTACCTTTTCAATTCGTCGAATGCTTCCTGGCACTCCGTCGTCCACCTGAAGCTGTTGGCTTTACGCATGATCTGAAAGAAGGGGAGTGCCCTCTCAGCTGACTTGGAGAGGAACCGGTTTAAGGCCGCAAGGCGCCCCGTCAATCGCTGTACCTCCTGACGTTGCGGGGCGGCTCCATGTTGATGATAACCTGCATCTTCTCCGGGTTAATCTCGATGCCTCTCCGGCTGACCATGTATCCGAGAAACTTGCCGCCCTGGACGCCGAAGGCGCACTTCTTGGGGTTGAGGCGGAGCCTGAACTCCTTCATTATTTCAAAGATTTCCCGGAGGTCGTCGGCGTGGGAGGTGGCCTGCCTGCTCTTGACGATCATGTCGTCGACGTACGCCTCCATCGTCCGGCCAAGGACCGCCCTGAAGATCTTGGCCACCATCCTAGTGTAGGTGGCGCCGGAGTTTTTGAGTCCGAAGACCATGACGAGGTAGCAAAAGATTCCCTCTGGGGTCATGAATGTCGTCTTCTCAGCATCATCTTCATGCATGGAGATTTGGTGGTACCCTCTGAAGGCGTCGAGGAACGACATCAACTCACACCCCGCCGTCTCGTCCACCAGCTGATCAATGTTGGGGAGAGGGAACGGGTCCATGGGGCACGCCTTGTTCAGGTCAGTGTAGTCAACACACATTCTGAACGTCGGCGGTTTCTGGGCGAGGACGACGTTGGCCAACCATGTCGGGTACTTCACCTCTTTAATGTGTTTGATGGAGAGGAGCAT